TATTTTCTAAGTCAATAATAATTTGCAGATCCTCATAATAGAAACTGCACCTAACCAATTACTTTTTTTTTAGGAAGAATAGAAGGTTACAGAGGTTGAATTAGACTATAAGTACGATAAAGCAACTTAGTTAGATAATTAAAACAAATATACTTCTCCATGAGTACTGCATCAGGAATTAAAGTTCAAATAGCCCGTACTTCAAGAAAAGGAGAATAGCGCTAGATGTTACTGATAGAGTATGGCTCCCCTAGCGCTTGAGCAGCTTTCTAGGGTTGACGCTCATTTGATATTTTTGTTCGCCTTTGCCCGTGATGAACGACATTGTTGCTTTGTCCTTTGTGACTTCCATATAGACGAAACCTCCATTTGAAAATCCTAGCTGTGAAAAGGGGTTCCACGAATTCGGATAGCTGGAAGCATCCAATAAATTGGACATTAAGAAATGTGTTTATTGAAAAGAAACTAACTGGAATTTGAGATTCCCCTCAGGGAGCGCTTTGATGTATTTTTTGGAACGATCGGATCGTGATCCAGCGCCGGTTACTACATAGTTTACAGGGTGGCCATACTCATTCGGGAATATGATATGCTGGAAAAAAAAGGAAACTATTAGGAGATCTAAATTCACTACTTGATAAAGATCGCAAGGAGCGTTTTTGATCAATCCAGAATTATCAATTTCACTCGTCCAAAATGCTTTGTACCAAATAAAAAAGGCATAAATTATAATTGGTGGTTTATGATATCATTCAAGAGCCCAAAAACACAGACTTTTAGACTTTTACAAAAACAATTTGCTGAACGGGAGAATTTCTATGGTGTCAGCATGATTTACATTAAAGGACACCACAAATGAGACATCACTAAAATAGATGGAAAAGAGCAAAGTCCAAATTTAACGTGGTTTACGATAACAAAACTAGGTAAGCCAAGATGGTGCACAACGCATTTTCCATAACCTTTCAGATTTTTTTTTGAAAAAGGCGATAATGGAAAGGAGAAAAAGGAGGGATGAACAATTTTTGAGCAGAAATGCAAAGTAACGTAATGTGTTTTGCATTTTGAGAAAAATTGAGGGTGATTTATTTGCTCGGGGTTTTCAAAATGAAGAAAATGGTATATTGAGTGAATTTTCTTAGAAGTAATTCTAATAACTGTATTTCATCAGAGAAAAACATGGAAAAGTGTAACTTTTAGGAAGGTAAACCTGATGACCCCGCTACTTGCTTGAGTGTTCACAATTAGATTCTTGTTCGTCAAGAATACTGAATATGTACTAAGCCCATTCAACATTTCGCAATCGATGCTACAGTAGGAAATTTTACCTGCAAATTATGGTCATGTCCAGCAAAGTAAGCCGACACGTTGTACGCTTTAAGCAAAGGATCAAGTCTGTCAATGAGGCAATGTGTCGGCCCGTGTGAGGAGATAGAATAGATGGGATAATGTCCAGCAACGAAAAGGTAGTCGGCCCTTAAGTGGCGGTTTTACCATAGAAAACTTATTGTAAAAGCTACTCACCTGCTTGAATTTAGATTTTCATTAATCCATTTCCACTGTTCTTCTGCTTTTTGGGGATCGCTTGGGCCCTATAAAGAAGCAATTCTGCTACGAAAAGTAAATTTGCTGGAGAAAAGTAGAAATGTGGTTTTCCTAACCTCAGGATGATGTGATCTATTCCACAACATATCGAAAAAACCACCATTTTGGATGTCAGCAGTATTTCCACAAAGCACTATTGTGTCAATCATCAAAACGTCTACAGAACTGTTTTTAAGTGAGAATGATAGCTTATAGTACAGCTTGGGGAAATTCCTATAACCAATTCTTACTTTTACTATGAAGATGCAAGATATATAATTTTCTAATAGTTGAGCTAACCATTTCCGGCTATGATTAGTGTAGGCAACTTGAGCGGAGACGTTGCCAAAGTGGTCGTGATTTCCTGCAATCAGGTACCACGGTACATTTAACCCTCGACCATCATAAACGTCTTCGAACGTGGTCTGGAAAGGA